ATGTTGAAAGGATGTATCTATGTATGTATGTTGAAAGGATGTATCTATGTATGTATGTTGAAAGGACGTATCTATGTATGTATGTTGAAAGGACGTATCTATGTATGTATGTTGAAAGTAAGTATCTATATATGTATGTTGAAAGGACGTATCTATGTATGTATGTATGTTGAAAGGACGGATCTATGTATGTATGTTGAAAGGATGGATCTATGTATGTATGTATGTTGAAAGGATGTATCTATGTTGAAAGGATGTATCTATGTATGTATGTTGAAAGGATGTATCTATGTATGTATGTTAAAGGACGTATCTATGTATGTATTTGAAAGAACGTATCTATGTATGTATGTTGAAAGGACGTATCTTTGTATGTATTTGAAAGAACGTTTATATATATGTAGGATGAAAGGACGTATCTATGTATGTATGTTGAAAGGATGTATCTATGTATGTATGTTGAAAGGATGTATCTATGTATGTATGTTGAAAGGATGTATCTATGTATGTATGTTGAAAGGATGTATCTATGTATGTATGTTGAAAGGATGTATCTATGTATGTATGTTGAAAGTGATGTATGAAGTGAAATATTGTTGCTTTGTAACTCTAAAATGTTATTTTATATTCAGACAAGCAATTAATTTAGTGACCCCTTGCCTTGATCCCCTTCCTCCCTCCCTCCTCCTCTGCTCCTACTCCCCCCCTTGCCTTGATCCCCTCCCTCCCTCCCTCCTCCTCTGCTCCTACTCCCCCCCTTGCCTTGATCCCCTCCCTCACTCGATATGGATTTAAGAAATAAGACCATGAAGAAGAAAGTTTTTTATTAGATGAAAACTCAGACAATGAGAAAGTAGGATAAAAATGGAATAACTTGAACTGAAAAGCTCTGGAATAGCGAAAGGAAATGAGAAAAGAAAGAATATATTTAGGTATATAAAGAAAGGATGGATGTATGTTGAAAGGTTTATCTATGTATGTATGTTGAAAGGATGTATCTATGTATGTATGTTGAAAGGATGCATCTATGTATGTATGTATGTTGAAAGGACTTATCTATGTATGTATGTTGAAGTATGTATCTATGTATGCATGTTGAAAGGAACTTCTCCTGCAAGAAAAACAAGGCAGCTACAGCCTATAAATACTTAGAACTCAAAACAAAGATTTTACATCTCTAAACACTGCTTAATGGGTTCTGAGGACATAAAGAAACATCAAGATGGGTATTAGATACCCTGTATATTTATACAGGGTGTTTTATTCAAATTAATGATATGATGGCCGAATGAAAGGTGCATATTTTCAAAACATATGATCATGTTTTTTTGCATTTTTAAAAACTAAACACCTTTTTTAAATGCTTTTAAACGATTTGTTTGAAGATATCATGTTCAATTTTTCAAGTTTAATGTTGTTTTTTTTTTGATGAAATAAAATAAAATAAAATAATTTCAAAATGGTTTATTAATTGATTTATTTTTAACTTAACTAGGTTTTCTACTAAGTAAAGCTTTTAGTTGGATACATATTTTTCTAAGGGATTCGATAATTAGGTTAATTAACAAACATACTATCAGATAAATAAATATTATTGTTTTTAAAAAAACAAAATTTTTAAATTTACAATTCGAAAAAAGTGACATTTTTATGGGAGGGGGGGGGGGGGGGGCAGAAAGTTGGATGCTTTAGCGTTAGAAAGACTTGAAGCTAAAAAATTACATAAAATATTAACAATGTACACTGTACAATGTACACTGTACAATGTACACTGTACAATGTACACTGTACAATGTACACTGTACAATGTACACTGTACAATGTACACTGTACAATACAGTTCACACATGAGATAATCTCCTAGATTTTCAAGGAAGAAATGACAACATTTAACACTGGTAAAAAGTTAAAAAACGTTCACAAAACACATTAAAAAGGTAACTTTACAATTTAAGCAACTTAAAACTATGGATACGTTGATATTATTAAACACCGGTGTTTAAAAAAATATTTTTAAATATTTTCTAAATTGGAACGGAGTTTAGCAGTCTATACAGTTCTTTTAAACATGATTAATCTTTAAATTAAACTTTTCTTATTTATACGTTTCATAGCATTCTAAAACACGGTTTAAACATAAACAAACAAAAACAAATATGGCACCTAGAAATTCATTCATAAATGGCACTCAGTCGCAAAAGACTAAGAAATTAAAGAGATTAAATTTGAAAAGTAAAACAACACCATATTGAACTTTGTTTTATTATTCAAAACTTTGAGTTGGATGCGTGACAGGGCGACATTTTTATGTTTAATTTACTTTAAATGTGGATATTTTGGTTTATCGTGAAATTTATGAGGATTTTGAAAGAATTAATTTTGTTTAATGTCCACCCTTAAACCATCAATTTGATTAAAATTAAAATAAAAGTTAGAATTTTATGCACAGTAAAAATTCATCCTGGGGAGCATAGTTTCATATTCTAACATTTGGTCCCTTTTTGTAAATGTTATAAACACGAATTTGTTAGGACTATTTTGAGACTCGTTTTACGTTTTTGTAATACATATTTATACATTTAGTTACATCAAAATATTCTTAAGTTAACTGCATAAATTTAGATTTTTACTAAATGCAATTTACTGCATTGTAAAATATATTGAGCAATTATCTTGTATACTTTATACTGATGTGCCGGCCTGCTTTATACGTGATGTTTTTTTTATGGAATAATGGCAAACATTTTGGACTTACACACTAACATAAAGTATACATTATTTATGCTCTTTTGGCACCTTTCCATTGACTTGATATTTGCATTTAAGGCAAGATGGCGGGGAAATCGAGACTAAATCAGCCGATTTAAATCCGGGGCAAGATGACGACGAGTTTTAGACGAAACCAGCTATATAAGCTGTCCCAGGCGGGTGTTCGCTAACTTTTTACAGAATTCTCTGTGTAAAACACAGAGAAAAATCAGCGGATGATTTCATGTTGATTTTAGCTCATTAGATTGTATTCAACTGTTGAAGCAATCCTCCGCCATACTCATTCCATCATACTGTTGATGATGTTCTAGTTTAGTATTGTCTGTATAGTGCATTGAACTGCCTGTATAATGGCCTTGGTAGGCCTGGTAGGCCTGCTGGGGGTTCAGGGCTATCACATTGTGCTGAGCCAGACCAAGTTTCATATTGTTGGGCGGAGTCTGAGGAGGCGTATCCTCCGCCCCGAGTCCTGAGTTTAGCTTGGTTTCCATACCTGCATACTCCCGTCCCTGACCCATAAACAGGTTTGGCCTTAAAGCCGGGACAGACATGGCTGGATTTTGGCGGAGGGACGGATCAAGAGAAAATCCATTTTGTAGGGCCTGCCAATTTTGGGCGGACCCTGGCGGCGGAGTTTTACAAACGGCAAGTTCCGCCATGGACCAGATCTTTGGTTTGCTGGGGGGTAAAGGGATACCCTCCTTCTCCTCCTTGTCATCCCTAGCCATCTCCCGCCGCAGTCCTTCATCTCCTAAAACTGAAAAAAAGATTCTTTCATAAAACATTTTTAGAAATGTCTGTTTTGTTTATTTTCCCGAAATATTTAAACTCGCATTGTACGTTGAAGCATGAAAATTAGGCTGTTGAGGATTTAAAAAGGCTGTTTCTTAATTGTATGGTTCCCTAAATTGTCCAAGTTTAAAAAGTGAATAATTTATCTTTTATGTGTGAGAACTTGCCTTTGCGTTGTAGTTAAACTTAAACGTTCCCTCAGTTTACCCTTTCCCTTAAAATTGGTATAATTTGTGTCGAGCCCTAACCCTGGTGCGGCGTCTGCCTGCTCCCCATTTGTAAACTTATTTTTTAAAGTATTTGCGCTGCATCTATACATAGGTTTTCCAGGTTTACAACTTCATGAAGGAAAATCAAGATGGCGCCTAGACTGGCCGCCATTTTGTCCAATTATCCCCGCGTTCAGGTCTCCAGCTCCTCAACATCAAATTTACGGCCTTTGTCCGAACACATTAAGCTTTTAATGGGCGAAAAAGTAAAATTTTAGGAAATCTTCTAGTTGTTAATTAGAGAAGTGGAGGGGAGGGGAGAATTGACAAAGTTGACTGATAAAACCTGGGGAAGAGGGGATATCTACTCAAATATAAGTCCAACAGGATATCTACTCAAATTTAAAACCGGATGGGAGATCATTTAAGAAAAAAAAACAGTGAATGGATAGACTCAAATATGAATTGAGGGCTATATCTACCAAATTTAACCCAGTGTATATCTACTCAAATATAAAACCCAAATGGATAAATACGAATTCAAGTAGTAACCCCTTTTCGTGATACAATTAACTTTAAAACCTAAAACTTAATTAAATAGCAATTTTTCATGTTTATATTTTTTAAGTAAAAATTCTAGAAATTTGTAAAGAACCTGTTCAAAATAGCTCAATTTAGATTTTTCAAAAATAGCTAAATAAAATGGCGCCAACCTGTTTTGTCATCTCTAAAGTCATCTTTGTCATCATCATCCGATACATCGACATCATCATCATCCAACTTGTTCTTAGGCTCCCAGGTCATCTTATTCTCCTTCTTCAGTCGTCTTCGTGCATTAGCAAACCACGTACTCACCTGAATTTATTTTCAAAGTTTAATAACAGTCAGTGGAAATTTTGAAGTCGGGTTTGATCTGAGATTATCTATGTTTACTCTTTTCAGCAGTAAAGAGATGTAAAAAACATCGAAATCAAAAAAATAATGTAAAAATGTAAAAAAGCTGAAAATCACATGCAACCGACAGAAAACATAATGTGATTTTTATACAAGCCATAATTCTATGAATTTTGTATTTCTCACTTAAGCCACGATTGTTCTTATTTCTGGAGCGGTAAAATTAAACTTTTGATTTAAATAAACTTTAAAATCTTGTTTTTCAACTTGTGATCTGTTTGCAGATGACAACAAATGGAATAAAGCTGAACTTTTTGTAATAGATTTAATAGATTTAATAGATTTATTTCTACGAAGTGGTTGGGTCGCGGAAGGGGGGGGGGATGATTAGGGGGAACGTAAATCTAATAGAAATACTTTATGATTAATGACGAAAAAACGTTTCCGTATTCAAAATTAGCAATTACACGCCACAATAATTGATTTCAAAACTTTTGAAAAATCATGCAGGATTACCCACACAGGATGAGACTGTAAAGACGACCTAAAAATCTTTAAACAAATTATTCTTAAGGTTGAATTAAATAATTTTCCTTGAATATATTCTTTTAATGGATGATTTAATGATTGGAAAAAGAAAGAAACAAGTTTACAGCTGCAGGTAATCATTAATATAAGGAAACAGACATTATAAATTCCGTATAGTCGTCTCTTCCTTGTGGGTAACCGGAACCCTGTATCTTTCCTAATTCCCAATAGTATTTATGCAACAATATTTTGTGATTTTCCGGGCTTAATACAAAATATCATTATAGTTTCAGTAGAAGTAAATATTTCCATTTACTGATAGCACCGATTGAAGGATTCATAACTCTGATTGGATAATGAGATAGATAGAAAGATAGATGTTACCACCATTCTATTTCTATTGGTTCAGAATTGACAACAAACACATGACCGAACCCTGATTGGATCAGGTACATACCGTATACACTTTTACAAATTTCTTCTTAAAGACATGTACGTACATTGTACAATACATTGTGCAAGCGTGTATACTTAAAAAGGCTTTTGTACATGTATGATACATTTCACAGCAAACCTCTCTTTGACAATGCTGCTCCATCTATTATACCATTGATTAAATTAAACCAGTGCAGGTTCTTAATCATTCCGTAGACACACTTGATAATTGAACCCAGCCCGCACCCAAATAGCATTTTTTTTCGTACTGTTTTTGTATATTTGGACCCTGCACGACCCCTATAGTTTGGTTTTGATGGGTGAATAGATAATAACCGGGATAAATCTATGTAAATTATGCAAATGTGTAATTACTACGTATACCCCTGTGTTCCAATAACACAATTCTATTTAATAAAAGTCGATTAAGTTTTTTTATCTTTACAAAATTTTCCCGAAAAAAGTTTTTAAAAGTCTTACAAATTTTTAAACCTTGTATTTTGTCGGTTTGTTTTACCCCTGGCCATAGGGTGTAATTATGATTAATGGTTTCACAGACTAATCATCATTAGGAGAATCCGGCATTTTGGAAATCATTTTAAAACATTTTAAACTCAAAGCTAAGGAAGATATATATTCAAACTGTTTTACAGTTGTACAGTGTACAGTTTATGCAGTTTTCAATCATTAAAATTTGCAACATTTTTGCATTGCGAAACAGAATTCTTCCATAATCAACAAAATTTTACTAATGCTTTTTTTAAAAACTTGAAATTGACGATAATATTATTTGCAATATGTCACAAGAGTCGAAATCAAAGCATGCGATATAAAATAACTGAGTTTTATCGTCAATTTATAGATATTTTTCTATTGAAATAGTTGCATTAAAAAATTGATACAACAGAGTTGAATCTTATTTCAATGTTGTATTTTTGTTGTATTTTTCTTGTCCTATGCGCACATGCACAGGGGGGGGGGAGCACCCTGTATATATTTTTCTAAAACAAATAGAAGGAAANTTATGTATCGTACGTGTTTGTGAGGGTGTGAAAATGAATGAAAGTCCTCTGACTGCCTGGATTGCATGCCTGGGTTTGGTGGGAATATAAATATCTGATGTAGGGCGGTGGATTTATTGACTGACGCCATGATGGATTGATTGATTGATTGACTGATATACATTTGTACACTGAATCAAAACATTAATGGGAATAAAAAGTTTTAATAATAAATTAGTCAACATATGTTAACATGAATAATGCATTAATCTACTGTAGAATTAATATCATTAGTTTTTATTGATATATAATAATATATAATAATGCAATAATAATTCTACTAATGGCGATTTTTGGCAGGTTGTCGTTTACCAGTGATAAGTAAGTGGCAAGAAATCCGAAATCCGATTTTTTTTGAAATTTCAAAAAGAGGGGTAGGNTAGTTTAAATACTAAATATACCTATAAAAGTATAATAAAATGTCGATTTTTTTAGAAACAATGCTTAGAAGGTAATTATTTGGACTGTATGTGTGCCTTTTAAGTATCTTATACTTATGCCTGATATCCAAGAAGCGCGCCAAGTGTTATGAATTTACAGTTCGAATTTTGCCCCCCCCCTAGGAGCTCCTAGGGGGGGGGCAAAAAATTTTTTTTGCAAATCTTGCCCCCCCCCTACATTTATTTCTGTATACGCCCTTGATGATCATGTTAAATGTTAATTTACATTTTCATATCATGTTCATGGGCTTGTTACATTTTGTCCAAACAATATAATCAGAAGTATAAAGCTAACTTATCCTTTGTGTGCAAATGCAAAGGGAAAAGAGAAATATCACTTCATTTGTCAAATAAATAATGCATATGCTTGCTAAGACCATGGGAATTAGTGTAAAATGTGTCCAATTTGCACATTTGTAGATTCCTCAAACAACAATTACCCTACGTGCGCGTACAGGTGTAAAGGCCGCGCTCTTTTCACCCTTTTTAGCGCCAATGCGCCGCGTCAGGTTGTCGACCAATGAAAGGCAGGGATACTCGGGCATTTTTAACGGAAATTCATGAAAAATGTTTAAAACGTTGTAAATCCACGTATTTATGGCGGGATGGTTTTGAACAATGCTTGTGCAGGAAATCTTGTTAATTAGGTAAAATATTTAAACAATAGTTGCTAAGTATGTCATCAAAAGGCCCATTTTAGGCATTTTAATCCCGTTTCACAATTGTTATGAAAACAAATGATTCGTTAAAGGGGTCATAAACTCCATTAACTCTAGATAAGCCTAATTTACAGTGTGAAACTGGGCCTTTATTTATTGTTCTTTTGAATGTACCTCCCCCCCATTTCTTTTTCCCCAACCGATGATTGTTTTTGAACCGTTTTTTAGTGAAGGGGTAAAAAAAATGTAACAACAAATTTTAGCAATTTTTCATTAATTTTGCCTCAAACTCAAATTTTCTAATCCCTGTACTTTTTCAACCTGATGGTGTACATTTTTGATATTTCAAATATGCCTATTTGATATAACAGAATTCACAATTTGAAAAATTAAAGAATTTTATTTTTTGCAAAAATTAAGTTCTTTGATTTTGTATTATCACTAAAAGATATGGGAATACAGAATTAGACAAAATTGTTATCATGTATCATATTAATATTTGAATATAATTGTAAAATATTAAAATATTCTATGCATACAGGGGGTTATCAGATCATACATATGTAGTTCAATTGGAGAGGGGGGATTACATAATACTGTAGGCGGGGGGGGGGGTTACAAGGTAAAGGGGGGGAGGGCATAATACTGAAATGAAGAGGGTATTTCAAGGGTATATCTTTATAAAAGGGAATTCAACGTTACCCTCTCTATTTATAGATCATTTTTAACTATGGGTTCTCTGTAGAATTGACTTGCAGATTTCTACTGCAGAAACGGTGAAGGAGATCGCCAGAATTAAACACCGTTGAAGCTAGAAGAATTTTGTTACTCAGATGAGATAAGAAGGTTACTGTACCACTGTAAATCGGCCAGGTTCTTTTTCTTTTAATGTTGGCCGGAAGGACACTTGAAATTACCAAGACAATCTCTTTAATTAATTTGATAAACTTGTTTACCCATATGCAGCTAAAGAAGGGTGATCGTATGAATAATAAGCCGAGGTCAGGCCTCCAGAGAGACCTCCAGACGGCCAACCCATCTCTCCTCCACCCTCCTTCATACCACTGTATCCTCCAGTCTAAAAATAACAAGTATTAGTTTTTTATTTTATTTTAAGTTTATATACAGTTACAATTATGTACGGTATTCATCCTACTTATGTACAGTATTCACCCCAATTATGTATAGTAGTAGTCACCCCACTTTTGTACAGTATTCACCCTCTCATGTACAGTACTCATATCACTGATGTACCACTTATTTCAAAATCTAGCCCACTCGTACGTGTACATTGTACAATTTTGCATTGTACATTTTGAATATTTAATACAGATTTAATATTTTTATTGCTGCACTAAAAGTATTTAAATATTTCGGATAATATCTTCTTTAAAGTCATGAAATGTAATAAAACACTAATTAAATGTGAAAAGATTTGGTTAATTTCAAGTTGTTTTTAACGATCCATATTGTTAATTAAATCTAATAAATTGCAAATATAAGTAAACCTTCCTACCTCGAAGCTTCCTACCCTAAATTTACCCATCTCACAAGCCCATCCAAACCCATTTTTTATAAAGTTTTTTATACGACCCATTTTCTTTACTTTTGTAAATCTTAAAATTACTGGATTATATTAAAATTGTTGGGTAGCTTGGGAACACAGATTTGCCTGATTTAAAACGTTCGCTAGAAAAATCAACTAACTCAACTTTAAAAGTATTCACAAAAATTTGAGGCACATCGGTCAAGTGGTTCTTAGTTTTGATCAGACGAACAAACAAACAGAAAAACAGAGATTACAACTTATATATACTTATAGATACCATTCTTTACTTAATTTACACGGGGCAGCTGGCAAAATATGTGAAATTAATATTTTGTTTGATCCCTTCCCCCTGCCCCCTCTTTAAGTCCCTAGACCCCCTGTGGTGGAATTATCCAACAAAAGTCAATACATCAGGGGCAACATATAGCCTAAACTCCGGGAGGTCCAGCAGGGGGGCAAACGACTGGGGGGGACTCAAAAATAAAAACGAGATTCATTTATTTTAAAATGAAGAATGATTTTTACTTTTTACCCTAAGTAAGTACACTCAAAATTTGATGCTTACAGTCACAATGCACAGCGAAACGCGCACATTTTCCGTAGCAACAATACAAACACACGTACAAAAAGCGCGCACACAATCTCACATACGCACTCATGCAACCCGTCCCGAAGATATATTGGTATTGGCGCGCATAAAATTTATTTCAAACAGATTTTATTCATGTCAACAGACAGGGTACAGTTCACACAATTTTAGGCAAATAGAATACATTTCTTAGTGTTCAATTCAAACATACAGATTTTTCAGGTTTAATTTAAGTAATGAAAATAGGGTTGGTATCGCTTCATTTCATGAATGCAACTAGATAGTAATAGAAAAAATCATTGGTGAAAAAATGATGATAACATCTTTTAATTAGAAATTCTATTTCCTAAACCTTTATAAAATGTAAAGGAAATATGAAAACTTTATCCCAGATATTCTTCTTTTCCCTGTTTGAGAAAATTGATAAAAAGTCTTATATTTGTAGATGTATCATTACTTAGGATCCTTCATAATACATCTCGTGGTTGACAGTTCCTTTTTCATATCAATGTATTTATTACATTCTATAATTCATAAATATCCCTTGGTGTATTCAGCAAACCTTGGATTTTCGGTCGTGATACGGATGTTAGTGACTGTCAGATATTGTAATAAAATGAAGACGACTACAATAAAGAGATCTGAATAGATCCGTATCCCGGCATTCGCGCAGTACCACTCCATAACCATTTGTTATACACGCCGTATCTCTGGTTTAACATTGTGAACAATGTTTATAATTCAGAATAGGGTCACGATGCCATGTCTTCAAGTTTACGACAACCATGCCGAGTGTAAAATTATATTTTACTTTATTTTATCATGACTTGAACAAGCTTTAATATGTCTAGAATAAGAAAGCTAGACAGATTTGAATTGTATCGTGTCTTAAGTAACTCAAGCACCAGGTTGCGTTGTGTTGTCAACGGGGTCAGGATATACTATTTACTTTAAAGCGACATTTCAACAATTACTCCTCCTCAGCTACCCTAGAATGAAGTGACACGTGGTATTTATCCGTATCCGGTCTGCATAGAATGCCGCAACTAATTTCCTGAAAATGCACGGATAATTTCCAGCAAAATGGCGCGTTTTCCAGACTAACCTGCGCCTGTCAATACCCATCAGGTTGACGGAAAGACAAGGCCCTGACAAGACCAACAAGTAAATTATATATTAGAAAATTAATGATGTTGCAACCAACACTTTTTTTCCAATTTTTGTTCCCATGAATTGAAAAGCTTAGTTTAAATATACACGGTAAAACTGATCTATCTATTAATCTATCTTCTCCTGACTCCTAGTTATCTGTCTCAGACTTCTAATCTGTTCTGAACAGTTCCAAGGTTTTTGTTTCTATATTTGTCTATCTAATTATCTATAACCCATAAACACATGTTATCTATATATCAGTCTGTCTGTCCTAGTTTTCAATGTAGAATTCTCACGATGCGATACTACCGAGGGTTTTGTTTTTCTTTCATTTTATCAATCCTTACCAGCCCATTCTCCTTTACCTCCTTTACAGGGTGTCCAAGAAAAAGCTATAAACAATGATGTTGTATGAACACTTGAAACTTCTCGAAAACCCCTGTGTTTTTTATCGGAGACATGCCATTTTTCAGTGGAGACCTCACTTGCATTTCTTTCACAGGTTCATCGTGATAAAAAGTCTAAAACAGTTTAGATTACAACTGAGAATCAATTCAATAATTTTTCTTATCCTTCTTCCCACAATATACTATAGGCTCTAGGTGCAGCCTTTTAGTTTAGATTAGTATGTAATAATAATAATGATAATACACACAATACTATAGAACGTTATTTGGCAGGGGGTAGCTGTGAAAAAGTCTACGAAATTTAGTACTTTCCCAACAGATTTAACATGTCAAAAAATGCATTAGTTGCATTTAGAGTTGCATTAGTATAATGGTTTGCCCTTAAAAGTGTTTATAAGATTAATTCAACACAATTTACTGCCAAAAATTAAATCTATAAATAAATTTGGCTTGTCTGTCTGTTTGTTTGTATCCAATAAACGTCAAAACGGCTGAACCGATCGGGCCCAAATTTTTTGTGGGACATCACGGGACCACAGGGAAGGTTTATGAATGATAAAAATTTAAAAAAATGTGTTTTAAAGGTTTTTAATTTTGTAGAAAATTTAAATTCTTGAAAATCCGCAAAATTTTTTTCTTCTTTGTTTTAAAATGTAAACAAAAAGAACATGTTCACATTTTAAATAGAAGATGGGCGCGAAGGGCCCTAAAAGCCTAGTTTATTAAAAATGTTGATGAGTGCATTTTGTATAAGGTAAACTTTTAAGTAAAATGCAATGAAACGGTAAAAACAAACGTTTATTTGTTCGAGCATTTTAATTTTTAGATGTATGCTGGGCGAACACAGCGTTGTTTTAGGGTGGAATATGTTTCATGTCGAACTAAAGTGAATTGTATGTACGCTAAATTGGAATTTTTTATGTTTTCAATCAGAGATTCTCTTTTTGTAGATCTATTGGGAAGAACAAATATGTTTTATAATATGTTACCAGATAAATTTATTATTGATAATTATAGATATCCATGGTGGGCTGGTTTAAATCGGCCTGATTTAAAACAGCCCACCATAGATATCGAGATCAAGCGAATGGGATTATAGTTATTCAACACAAAAGTGCCTAGCTTTGTACTGATAATTTTTTTTATTGAATTACTGTTATTTCTTTTTTATAGAATTGCATACAAATAATAAAAGCATATGTTTTGTTAATATAACTGCCTATATTTCTTATCAAATCTTAATGTCCAGCATGAAATAGTTTTTATAATCTTACACCGTCATTAATACTCGTCTTATCTTTGTTATTAGTCGAATAATATGAAAACAAGGTTTATATCTTTAATCTATCGGTATCATATCTTTATCTGTTTTCATATCTACATTTAGAACATTTAGATTGGAACAGGGGAATTTGTTGAATTATGAGTGCTTGATTTTTCCGGCTCACCCTGCGTTCTAAATATAAAACATGCTAATTAACTCTTATTGCAGATTATTTTCCTACAATCTACATTAGCAAAAAGACCAACAAACAGACCGACGACATAGATAAAATTTGTAAACGACAGATGGTGACCAGCACAGGGTGATAATATAATCATATAAGGAAGGGTTAAAAGTCAGACGACACACCTAAATTAGTCATTATGTAGTTTAGGTAAAATTTTTAAATAAAATTCAAGAAATAATTATATCAGTCAAGGAAGATATACCAAAGAAACTCACATATTCATTGTTTACAACAGAGTTTACAATGAACTGCAGTACGTTTTTCTTTTTCAACGTTAACTTTTGATTAAGACCATAGAAATGAATCAGGAATTCACAAGCCTTTGTTCTAAATAATGTGTACTGCACTTTCTGGGATCGAGGAACATAAACTAAAAGCTCATCCTGAGAAGCACTGAGATTGTTTATATTTCTCCCAGAAAATGCAGTACACTTTATTTGTAAACAAAACTCACTGTAAACTTCGGTTTATTTCAATTACCGGGCCGACTTTTAATAAGCTAGATCAAACTGTACAGTACGGTTACAGACAATGTAAGGCAAACCGGGACGGTACGCCAAATGAATGATTCCATGAATGGAAATTTCCTTGCTTAAGACGATCAGTTCTGGGCGATCATTTTATCATTTGATCAAAAATATAGAATCAAGATTATCTTTAAAAGTTGCTGTTTCTTCAAATCGATGTGTATAAACCAAAAATAAAGTTTGAATTTAAGAATAAATTCCGATTTGATAGACTGCTAGGCGACAAAACACACAGCTTTTTCTCCACAATCGTTGTAAATATTCAAAATAGATAAACATAAAAAAGATAAGAAAATTTAAACAGTTTTTGTATAAACGTCATAGTTCATATAATCAAGGTTTA